GGAAGGTATAGTGAGAATCAACCTTTATTGTACATTTATATCATTATGAAAGTTTTATTTTATTGTATCTTTTCAAAAAGGTAATAGATTTAGTTAAGAGGTGAAAGAATAAATAAATACCAGCAAAATTTTAACCGAGCTGGTACAAATATAAGAACTTGACAATGCTGTTTCCGATACGCTTCAGTCCGTCCGTCAAAAAAAAATATATGGAAGGAAGGGATATGGAACGCGGAAGGGAAACGGATAGTGTGCATTGTCCTATTCATTTACATGATATAATATTTTATGTAAACGGAAGGGAAACGGAAGGGAGCTGATATGGAAGGTATAAGAAGGTAATCAACCTTAAAGCGGTGAGTGCGGCGCGTTCGGTACGGGTCAGTGTGCACGATAAGAAAAAAAAGTGCGATTCGTGCGGCGCGTGTGGCGCTGATCAGTGTGCGCGTACCTCTAGACTGCAAAAATAAGTAATTTATGCTAAAGAGTATCTAAGGTATTCTATAAATCTATAGATATTGCGATTGAGTTCAGACCACAATCCATTGCTTTATAGTGTATAAGGTTAAGTCCTAACCTATACATGCGAAACGTGGACACCTAAAACGGACATTATAAGAAAACGCTCAATGGAACGAAATATGCTGGGAATAACCAAGAAAGACCGTAAAATAATAGAGTTGATACGACAAAAGACCCAGATAATAGATGTTATCCACAAAATCAAATCCCTTAAGTGGCAATGGGCAGGACACCTGGCAAGAAGCACGGACAGAATTAAGAGACCTAGAAGAAGACCAAACCTGAGATGGAATTATGATATTAGGCAATTATCAGAGATAACTTGGTCCCGCATAGCCAACAATAGACAACAATGGGCCCAACTTCAAATAGAATATCTAAATATGTGGGGGAGGCTACACCATAATTGGAAATGGTTGAATATGCTCAGAATGATGATGATGATGATGATGTATCTCTTTCAGAAGATCTAATAATTATTATATTGTATAATGGTTCTGTAATACCAGGCGCTATAAATTTTATTACTTCAATAGTTATCTCATCATAACCAGGTCATTCAGTATTCATGAAATTTCATTGTAGCCAAAGACTACTGAAAGGACTGTGAGACTGACTTTGAAAGAAACTTTCAATTTTTTCTCTCGTACCGATAATAATAATACGGTTGTCGATGATGCATCGAAAGTGAATTTGAAAAAGTGAATGCGGTCCATTAAACCGGCTTGGTTCCCTTCGATCACCGAGACGCACACATAACGGCCAATAACCGACCCGTTCGAAATTTATCGGTTTCGTCTGCAAATCGGACGGACAGGCATTCCGTCGAAAACGACGGTTCCGACGCAAAAAATACCGCTAAATTTTCGGGTACGTACCTACTCGATCGCTCGCATTATGAAATATTTATGTCACGCCGAACGGTTGCAATAACTTGCGGACAGAGAAATGAGGAGTATGGATCTCAGTGTCAAAAATGTTATGTTGTAAATTCAAATAAAATTATTTTTTAGGGTGCGTACCTCAAAAGAAAGAAACGAAACCTTCATAGGGTTACTTTGTTGTCCGTCCGTCCGACTATGTGTCGATTTGAAAATAAAAACATATCTACAGTATGTCCACGGATTGTCTTTATAAGAGGAAACCCTTTTTATATTATTGAGATTTTGAGAAAAATGCATTTTTCATAAAAATGTTTGCTTGTTCTGAAATGATTAATCCCGTTTATACTTTACCAAATTTCCATACCGATTTAGAGAATACGTTTTCTTTGGAAATATCATTTAGATTTCATTGTTTCATAGATGGTTATAGATAGAGCAAAAAATACTGTATAGGGTGGTGGAATTTTTATTCATTGTTATGTAAATTCATTAAAAAAATTAGATTTTTTAAAAATTCGCTTAAAAGATCAAGTCTGCCTTGGAAATCCAATTGACACTTTATATGACAGCAAGTTAATTTTTGTTTACTCTATTAAGTGTCAAATCTGGACACAAAAATTTATAGTATCTAAATAGTTTAAAATGTATTAACAGTCAACAATATGTTCACAAGGAAACACGAGATATGTATCATGTTTACTTAAAAATAATAGAAATTCCGATATGACATGCGCAAGTTTTAGAACATTGTATCCTGAAAGGACGCAGCTTCATCGTACCGTTTTCGCAAGGATTTCAAGAAATTTAGCAGTTGCTGGTAGCTTTAAGAAACAAGAGGGCAATATTTTAAAAGGCTTAATGATTTTAATGGGCCAGCTCAGATTCAAATAAATCCGGAAACTTCTAGTAGTAAAGTAAAATAACTCGAGTGTTGATTTTAAAGTTTTAGTAAAATAACTCGAGTGGGATTCTTATGTAGGGAAAATTATCAAAACATAAATATCACTGCGTGCTTAAGTCTAAACGCACCATTAGGTTTGTTCTTTATTATACAGGGTGGCCCATCGAAAACGTTCCGCAAGGCATAACGGCCAGGGTAATTTTTTTTTTCAGAAAATCCAAAAACACGTCAATTTTGTTTGTGGGACAACTTTTGCCCCAAAAATGATTGCAAAATCTTCAACCCTCTAAGCGGGGGTGTCATCCCCAACTTTTTTCAAATGGGAAGGGGAGTCAATGAAGTTGGGTGCAGTCAAACGTGAGATTATTGTCCGCTGATGACGCCAGGCATTGGTACGTTTGATAAATGGTTGCCATATTGTGGAAATATCTATACATGACTTCCTAAAGATGTTACTGTTACTTGATGTAAAAATATCTTCTTTATATTTGATATATTCTAACCATATGGTGCGGAGATCCTAACATTAACCAGGGAAATAGTAAGCAAAATCAGAATAATGCATAGAGCAATGGAAAATCAATATTGGATTTATATCTGAGAGAAAAGTACCGAATATCGAGAAAAAAAAAGTACGAGACAGAACAAAAGTCATGGATGCCATAGGGAAAATAACTACTTTGAAATAGAATTGGACAGGGCACATTGCACGGCTAAACGATGACCGATGGACAAAGAAAATTATAGAATGGAGACCAAGACATGATGCATTCAGGAGCAGAGGCCGTCCTCCAACCAGATGGCATGACGAATTAAGGCGTATCCACAGTAACTGGATGCAAATAGCTCAAGATATGGAGTTATGGAAGCACACGATAGAGGCCTACGTCCAGCAGTGGACTTAAGTGGCTTGTTGATGATGATGACGATTTCTCTCTCTCTCCAATCTGCTGAGGGTCGTGACTTCTATGAGAATAATTTTTGTTTTATAAGATCTTTCCAGGCTAATCTGTCTTCAGCTCAATGGATAGCTGAGTGTAGGGGTTTTTGTTTGTCTTACTTGTTTGTACTACATTGTTAGTCTTACTTGCTCGATCCATCTTGTTGGGGACCGACCTCTACATCTTTTTCCTTGGACATCACTAGTTATAATAATTTTTTCCATGTTGTTGGCAGGTCTTCGAGCAATGTGTCCAAAGTACTCGAGGATGCGTTTCAGACAGATTGGCGACAGTCGGGTGTTTATGTTGAGTTCATTAATTGTTGATAGATTAGTTCTTCTAGCTGTCCAAGGTATTCTCAGCATACGTCTGTAACACCACATTTCAAAGCTATCTACCATGAGCCTTTCCGATGCTTTGATGGTCCTGGATTCCACTCCATGAAGAAATATTGAGAAGACATTTGTATGCAGCAAATTCTTTTTTGTGTGGGTTGTTATCACCCTGCCCTGCCATATTCTTGTAAGGCAGTTGTAACAGTTTTTGCTAACTGTATTCTGCGTCTAATTTCTATTTTACAATTGCCTTCGTCATTTATGTTTGATCCAAGATAAACAAAATCATGAACCACTTCCATACCATTAAGCTGGAAAGATCTTTGTAGGGTTTTCCCTCTGTCCACGAACATTAATTTCGTTTTTTGGCGGTTGAGAGTTAGTCCCATCTCAGCACTTTCATTTTCCACTCGCAAGAGTAGACTCGCCATTTCTTCTTCACTTTAACAGTTTAAAGCAAATAAATGCATAATTGGCTGAAGAATATAGTGATTATTAATGATTCCAGAGTTACAGCCAACCATGGTTTTAGTATTGAACTGCCCCATAAATTCGCTCATTTTTTATAATTAGTTTTTATGTGAATAATAAAAACTGATAAATAACTCTTGAGCATTGGTAAATTTGATTTTAGCAAATTTATATTTTTTCCCATTTATTTTACTATTAGGTTAGGTTGCTGGGGTTTGATCCTGTTTGATCTCTCACTCGGAGGCCGTGGGTCCATTGCGATACTCCTGTGTTATTGTACCAAACCTTCCTCTCATTCCTGCTTTGCGTTAAAGCACTTTCAGCTCTTTGGAAAGTTCCCGATGTCGCTGATGTTGGCTTCTACTGCTTCCTCTAGTCCCTCCAAAAAACCTTGCCCTAAAGTTTTAAAGCGTCGGTATTCCAGTGCCGGACAGTGTCACAGCAGATGCTCTATGGTTTCTTCTTCCTCTCCGCACTCTCTGCAGTAGTCGTCGTTGGAAATCTTCCATCTCACGAGGTTTACCTGCGTGGGGCAATTTCCAGTGATGACACCTACAATTATGCGTACTAGCACAGGTACTAGGTTCTTTTTGAGCTCTAGTAGTTGTTTTGTCTTTTTGCTATCTACCACTGGCCACAGTCTTCGATATAGCGCAGTCCTCACGGTGTTGCCACGTCTCTTTTTTTGCTGGTTTGCCTTGATGGTAGTTTCTATAGCTACCTTCCGTGTGTTGATCGTCACAAGTGGTGGGTCATCTGCCATGGCCTCTCTCCTGACCCCCTCTTTGGCAAGTCTGTCTGCTTCTTGGATTCCCACCACATTGTTGTGACCTGGCTTTTTTTACTATTGGTTCTTCCCGTTTATAATCTTTCTGTGGTCATTATATGTGTGGACATATTAGTTAGTCAGGAAGCAAACAGCAAAAACCACTGTTTAAATACCTACCTGTTGTTCCAGCCTCGATAATAACATCTCCAGGTAGAAAAATCAGATATATCAAATTAGCTCGCAAGCTTGTCAAACCGTCCATAGGAATGTCCTTGAATAATTCGACTTCAAAAATGCTATTTCTTGATAACGCAATGAGGATTTCCTTTTTCAAAACTGACGGCGTAATTTTACTAATGCTGGACTCCTGTAAAACAAATAAAATAATTATCTATAAGATGCTTAACTTAATATATCAATATTGTCATTTTTTACTAGAAGGAAATATTTTTACGACGTTGTGCGTTTAAATTCTAATCAGTATTTAGTGGCTGTATTCAGTATTTAGTGGCGCTGCCACCATCGGGGAATATCGTAAAAAAACTAGCATATACAAATACACGGGTTTAAATAGTGGGTATACGAAAAATGTGTATTACTTAATTATTCTAAAAGTGTTATAATTAAGTTTCGTTGTGTAATTTGTGAAAATTCTAAAAATAAAAATAAAAAAGTAAATATTTTGATATCTTCAGAAGGTATAACTTTAGTATTATAATTTATTATTCCGCAGATAAAAGAACTTTTTAGACGAGTTCAACTACAATAGCGAGCATAGTTTTAATCACAGGTTTTGCTAGTGGGGCATAATTGGGATTATTTTGGCTATAACGAATTTTTTTACGTACAGGTACATAATTATAATTTTAGAAGATGTTCATAAAACATTTAATCACTAGTTGATTAAAAAAAGTATACCATTAATATTGAAAATTATATTTTATTCTCTCATAGTATAGGTCTATTTAATATTCTGAATATGTAGCGAGCCCTTTGTTTACTCACTTGTTTCGTCGAACTGCTTGAATCTATTTTTGATAGTGATCAAATCGATGTGAGAAACTATGAACCTATAAAATGTTGTTTTGGGAGAGTTAAATATCCGGGAAAGTTGAGTTATTGAATATTATTGCCTTAATTACGCTCTCCTTTACGCGTTACCATTTTTTCGGTAATGTTATTAACATTTGAAATTGTCACAACACAACACGACGCCTAGTTCTTTTTCACTTTTTTTACTACCCGAAACAGCGTTACATCACACAAACCTCATACCTGAGTGTTTTATAGTCTCAATAACTGCACTAGCAAACTAAAATACTTAAATATTATGACATAACCACGTTTTCAATATTATTTTAATGCGATCAACATGGCGGCGGCGGCGGCGGCGCGGCGCGGCGGCGCCGGCGTGAACTATATATTGATAATTTCTGATTTTTGTCGTAAAGCGCTATTGTCGGAATTTGTTGAAATTAACTGAAATGCACCAAGCCTATAGTGAAAATTAAAACAACTCTCAATAGAGGTATCATTTACAATGTCATTTAGTATACTTACCTTATAAAATTTCCTTTGAAACTTGAAATTCAGATACAAGAAAATCCGGTTTCTTAGTTCTAATGGCAGTGCCTTATGTGCCATATACGCCTCTATACTGGCGTAGGCTTTTTGTTGTTGGTTTCTTGTGCTGGAAAACTGGTACCACAGTTGGTAAGCCTCCATACAAAATACACAAATATAAATACTAATGGCAAAATCTTAAACAAAAAATATACAATAAATATAGGCGCCTTGACTTACAACGACGTAAAGTAAGAGTTGAACAAAGAAACCGTAGAGTATCAAGAATACTGGGCATAACTTGTCGATGATGTGGTCGGATACATGCAGGCCGTGACTAATCATCATCAGCACCTCAAAAGTAGACATGGCGCTAGCAAATGGCGGTCTATCTTTAAATTCAGGCACTTCAATCTAATTAAAAGAACAAAAGTTAAAATAAGAAAGTGTTGGCTTGCTCATTAAGTTATAAATCTCCATTAACTGAAGAGTGAAAACAAAAAAAAAGATTTGTGAAAAAAAAGTGATTTACCTATCAACGATCCAAGTAGCATTTGGACGTTATCTAACGTCGGGTATACATCGCGTTCAATAAACCCGACGTCGGGTACCAACGTCGGTTCGACCGCCTGACGACCCTTATTTGCACCTAAATGGGGAATACAGATTCGGGTCGCCTCGACGTCGGTATCTGACCTAATAGGGAATGTAATTCTACCAATTACCAACGTCATATTACGTTGGATTTTAGTTACTTAAAATTCGTCGCTAAGCACTTACGTTATTTTTGGTTTCATATTCGCTACCAAGAATACATAAAAACCTAACCAAACTACCTAATTACAAATGGATTCATAATCACTCCTCGAATATAACTATAAGTGCCTATCTAATTTCGTATTATAGTAATTCTGAATCATTAATCCAGACATCAGTTTTGTCAACGGAAGTCACTTTCTTGATATATTTGATTAAAATACTCCGGAAAACAACGAGCGCTTTCAAAATTAGGTAGATTTATGAAATAAAAATATCTATAAAAAAGTAACTCACAATTTTTTTTTTATTTTCTAGCTGGTTTAATCATAAAACTGTACTGTGGTTCCCCCCAAACTCAACCTTATCGATATTATTCTACTAGAAATCGAAATGTTAATATAAATTTTAAAAACAAAAAACGATTTTAAAATGGCTGACAATCGGATACGTGTTAAGAATGGCGGATTTCTGAGTCCGACTTAATATGAACTACCAATATACCAATTCCGACCGGGTCTCCAACATTAGTCGTCTCACACGACCGAAGTCATCAAACCGGAAGACCGGCAATCGTATTATGACGTATATAATTCCAACGTACGCCACGTAACCTCACTTTGTTTATCAGTGATTTGTGGATTTGTGCAACTATATTTTAGTTTTTGTTTTCTCCTTAAAAAAAATGGGCAGCCACTTTTTTAAGCCTAACCTCACATGTCAGAGGAGGATGGGGTCCGCTGGTTTCCTAAGCTAAAAAATGAAATTAAGATGCACCAGTGTAATGCAGCATCTCTTCCGGATAAAAATCATTTATGGGTGGAGGCAAGACATCACTACTACTATTATTATTTTGCAAAAGCCTCGACCTCTTTCTGTAAAATGTAGATGAATGTCTAAATCCCTTTTTAGTGCTTTTTTAGGCATAAGTTTGTTTACAAAAACTTTTTATTAGGTTATGTTCATGATGTTCATTAGGTCGCAAATGCTACTTAATGGGTTGTATTTACGGACGTAAATAGAGATACGTAAATTAGGTTATAAATATGAACATAAAATACAACAAAATATAATTGGACGTTACTTTAGGGATTATCAGTGAGACGTATATCCTATTCGGACAACGGGTAGACGTCGGACTAATTCAAGTATATGTACGTCGTGCAATCCAACGTGGGAACGACGTTGGGAAATTAATAAAAATGGTACGTTGTTATTTTGTACGTCGACAGATTGTTGGATTTACAGACTCAGATCCAACGACGTCGCTTTTAATAGGAAAGCGACGTCACAGGTCGTATCACCAGCATCCGACCTAAATTTGCACAAAGTCTGACGTCGCTTCAGGTCAGATTTAGTTCGAAGTCAGATATATGCTACTTGGGGAAACTTAATATTTAAAGAAAAAATATCTGTTATAGAGTCACTCTGCCTTGTTAAAACAAAACTTACCAGCAAATAATAAACGACCAGATTCAATCCCAAAATGGTAACCATCAAGTTGATCACACACCTGATCCCGCTGTAAACGTAAACGTTCAGCTCTAAGTATAGTTTGATCTGGTGCAGAGTGTCAAGGAAATATAGATATCTGAAAATATTTAACATGATGCATCCGTCATGCATCGTTTTATCGTTGATTGAAGAAATAAGAGGATGCGCAACCTTATTATGCGATTTCGTGGCACAAAATATGTCCGAGATGTAGCTGGCGTTGCCGTTACATGTCCGAGATTTAGTTTAGCTCTGCGCCGCTGCGCACTGTTAAGGTGCTCGCGCACTTAGTCGAAGTGTCGGGAATGGAAGCGGCGCGAAGCGAAGAGGCGCGTCTTCTTTTCGGACCAACTAGGAGTCGTTTCCCTGCGCGGCGATAGGCGGCAAGAAGATTTAAATATTTGTTGATTCTTGTCTCATATCCAAGTTTGTGCGTTATTTGGTAGGAAGAGGTGCTAAAGTTGGGGCAAATTTTCTTTCTAGCCGTGATACAGAGACATAATTGCAAAGGTAATTTAATTATTTTTGATTTATTCTATTGATTTATATTATGAACACAGCATTTTTTCTTGTTTTTATCTTCTTCTTCTTCTTCCATAGTGGCAATTAAACTTAGTACAAAAGGGTCCTCTTCTGACAAACTGCTCATCTACTACACTAGACAACGTACTGCGTTGAAATCATGAAATAAATAAAATTCGCGTCGCGTCGTTCGAGACGCCACGCTTCGCCCCAGTGCGCGGACGTCAGCTGCATGACGCTTCGTCTGTCTGCGCGAGCATCTTTGTCATTTACAGCGCAGCAGATACAGAATATTGTACCGTAGTTCTATTTTCAGTCGACATGGGGGTGGTTGTCGGAGACAATGTTGCGTAGATTTAAGATTACGTATTATTTTCTATCATTAAACAATTTAATATAATGTTATATGATTAAATAAAGAACGGCGTCAGAGTTGGCTTTTAACTTAAGATCGCTGTTATTTCATATGTAAAATATTACGATAAGTGTCAATAATGGTCATCTCTAAGCCAACTAAAAACTTGACTTCGCCCAACGATATCTTCAGTATATATAAAATAATTTAATTTTTGTTTTTTAGTATATTTAACACGAATAAATTTTCAATACATAGGTAAACAAGGATTTTTCATCCAAAGATATTTTCGTCAAACGTATAAAGGCTGATTCATGGTACACCGGGCCGTACCCGAGCCGGGCACGTTCCGTAAAGTAGACACCGAGACACGTCCGGGCCTTCAATATATGCTACACCGAGTGTACAACGGGGATCATGTCCGTGCCGATTATATTCTAGAAAACAGTGTTGCCGCAGTGGTACATTTGTACCAAATTTGATACTTTTAATTCTATTTGGTACAGTGGTACTACATTTTCAAATCCAGGATGATTTGGTACAATAATTATTTCCCACGCGCACCGAAATTGAATAGATATTTAATAATTATTGTCGTTGATATTGCATTAAACGCGCTTACCGATACCATTCGGAGAAAATCCGCATTAATTAACGACGTATTATAAACGTTGTAATGTCTATAGCGTTGCCTATATTAAATAACCCGAAGAAAAAACTTGAAAATTTACTGTTTCTAACATGCTTCTATATTTGCGTTTTTTTTAAATAAAATTTAAGTTTTCCAAGTATTGTGTGTAGTATTAGAATTACTTAGAATTCTTCAACCTATACATACTTATAATTGGGTTTTCTGAATTTCTATTTCATGTTTTTCGTCTCGATTTGTGTCTTTCTCCAGGAAGTTTTTTTATGTAGAAATTTATGAAGAAATTCACAGCGACCAAACCGGTTAAAGTCATTTGCAGATGTATTTTGTTGTGCTTTAAAAAATTGTACCAAAGTGGTACATTTTTAGTTTATAATGTGGTACGCGCTAAAAGTTGGGTGCGGCAACACTACTAGAAAACAGTCGCTATAGGCCCGTAGACGAACGAAGTATTTAGCCCGGGCGACTCATTTATGTTTGCCGCAACGGGGCCGGACCGTAGCGGATCCGAGGAAAAATGTACACCGACATTTCTCGGACGGGGCACGGACGCGTTCCGGCGAAGCTCGGCCGATGCTCGGTTTAGCATGAATGCATAAGTATAAATAACATTTGACAATGTTTGGCCGTGCCTTCACCGTCGCACGGCCCCGGCCCGTCACAGTGTACCATGAATCAGCCTTTACAGTTCTTACACATTTTAATATGACAACACTGTTGCTTTCGACACCGTCTTCAATACGCCTTCGCTAGCCGAATTAGAGAAAAATGAGTGTTTTATGCGTTGGCCGCAGTACGACTAGAGGCTTCACCGTACAGCACTTGAGACGAAAAAATCAAACATCAAACAGCCTTGTCGCGAGTCCATTAGGTTGCGTATCTTCCCAATTCCTTCAATCAACGGTTTTTCTTTTATTGGTTTATTTTAAAAATATCAGATAATACTTCAATATGATTGGATTGACGGAACGGCAGACGACGAATGACGGTTGCATAAAAGCACATTCTTGCCATCGAATTGACAGAATAAAAATTGGCGTAAGGGGTGCCCAAGGGGGGCACCCCCCAGAGAAATCTTGAATTATGACTCTTGGCTACGTATTAATTTTTATTTGCTTGTGATGTAGTAAAAATGACGTTTTCTAGTTTTGCTTAGTTAATATTATTTTATTGTGTTCAAAGAATGTATTAATTTTTATTTATTTAGAAAATTTGTAGGTAAAGTTTGTAGTGCAGGCAAAATTTGTAGGTGTGATAACCAAGTCTATGAAATTTATTGATAGAGAAATTCATGAAAACGTTTTATTCAAAAAATGTGTTTTAAAATTATTTTTTATTTTTATAAAAACAAAAGCCTTAGGCCCCCTGGGACCAGCCCCAGGCCCCCCTGGATGAATTGCTAGTTACGCTAATCAGAATAACACATAACGTCATACCTTGCGTATGCAAACAAAGGTAATATCCATTTTAAATTCCTAATGTATATGTTATCCGAGTTCCACTTGTTCTGCCACGTTAATATTCTAAGAAAATATGGCATTATAGATACAATGTCAAATACGAAATAAGATGTCAGATAGGATCTAGCTACTTCCTTGGAACTTAGAACCACTACGTTATTCTCTTTCTCGTAGTATCCACTGTAGAAGCTCAGTATAATCAAAACTAAATAGGAAACTGAAAAAAAAACACAATTTTAGAGTAGAGCATTTTTTTCAGTATCTGTTATTATCCATTTTTTTTTTCACTAGAAAATACACAATCAACACAACACAATTTCTCAAAATGAAGTTCGCAATTCTCGGTCCTAGCCAACTACTGATTCGCGGCTAGATTTAAATTATGTCATCAGTGAAAATAGGATGTGAGACTGTGCTATCATCTTTGGCTATCACATCAATAAGTAACAAACAAACAAACAAACAACAACGCTTTATTGTGCAAAAAGCCAAAACAGCTTCAACGACAAAGCACTCACAAAACAAACAAAAGCACAAAAAAAATATACAAACAACAAAAAATACACAATACGAATCATACAATTCAAAAAAATTTAAGTCATTAAAATTACAAATAGAACATACATGGACAATTGCAGAACAGTAAGCAGTAAATAGATATAATTTTAAGAGTTATAAAATATTAAATACTTGACCTTTTACCAGTGCGTGAGATGATCATGAATTTTAAAATTCAAATTTTTTTATGATTAAACATCAACAAAAAAGTTATTTAGCGCATATAGGGCTGGCTCCAGTAAGTATGATTTCAGAGCTTTGCGAAATGCGGGAAAGAATGAAAGCGACTTGATATTCAAAGGCAGATGATTGTACATTTTTTGGCATTGTACAGTATTGAACCTTTAACTAGTTCTGAGCTCGGGGTTGGCAGATAAAGATCGTGCTCCGCATTCCTAAGTGGATAGTTATGAGATGGCCTTTCAGGAATAGCAGATATGTGCTTGCGGATTAAGCAAACGGATTCAAAAATGAATAAAGAGGGAAGAGTCAGTATTTTGAAATTTTAAAGAAATTCTGGCAGTGAGTTCTACTGTTCAGTCCCAATAAATATCGAACTGGTCTTTGAAGACTGAAAATACGACCAAATTTTGTTGCGCAGCAAGTACCCCAGAATGGAAGGGCATAACGAAGATGTGACTCAAAAAGGGCATAATAGGTTATTCTAGAGGTTGGTAAATTAAGTTCCTTAGAAACTGATATTAGCGCAAAACAGGCAACGCTTAGTTTCTTTGATAGGTCTGCGATGTGAAAGTCCCATTTTAACGAGTTGTCTACAACAAGTCCTAAGAATTCCACAGAGTCCAGGACGTCAATAGTGTTGTTATTAAGTTACAAAAAAAACTTGCATAGTACTTTTATATGATAAAACTTTAGTTTTTGATAGGTTGAGGCTTAGGAGATTAGAATCGCACCAAGATTTAATGGTGCTTAAGTCACTGGATACAGTATTATCGAGATTATTATTAGATTGTTCGCTTATGTCTAGATTTGCAATGTCGTGATGATTCGTGATGATCGTCTTGATAAAGACCAGAAACAAAATAGGCTGACAAGAAGACATATACGTATCAATCCTCACAAGCTGCCTTCTGTTGCCAAGATATGACTTAAGCCATTCGAGCGGCAAGAGATTGCAATTTGTTTGAGCTTGAATATTATATAAAATATAAATTACTTACTATAACTAACAGTATATACGTTATTTGTCAACTCTGGGGGCCAGTGAGCCGCTATTATCGGCCACCAAATGTAAGTAAAACACAAAATAAAAAACATGTAGATTCGAAAGGCGAAACTAAACATACTAAATGGATGGATCATGTTGTAATTAGCTGTAAGATGTCGTGCTTCCTCTCTTTTGAATTGACTCGATGATCTTATGTAATATTTAGTAAGCGGATGCTTAGAGTTTACCATAAAACATCTACAAAAGCCATAATATTAATCCAATTAATACAGGGATTAACGTACTTGCTTCATACTTTTTCAGCTTTCTTCTGGTGTGGATAAACAATCCAGTACAAATGAAGGAGTTCAGTAATTCATCCGCCTCACAGCCTAAAGTACAATGGTGAATGTTTTGATATTGATACTTTTTGGTTTTAGGCATTTCGATTTCGTCAAAAAAATGTTTTGACACCTTAGAATATTTAACTGTGTCAACTGAAAATCATTTTGACAGTTTTATACGATGTATTACCTTAATAACTCTAAAATGTTATTTTTTGGTCAGAAGAGTAAATAATTAACTTTAAAACTTCATACAGTAGTGCTATGGTGGCTCGTAACAACCAAACCACAGAACCATGACATGATAATACCTTAATTTTTCCACAAAACAATTTGTTTATCTTCAAAAATGTTTTAATGTACCGGGTATGGCCAATTAAGAATGGATTCCGTATTTCAGAAACTACTTATCGCATAACTTTGGGAAAACAAATAATTGTATCGGCCAAGAGAAATGGCTGGAAATTATTTTCAAGTTTGAAAAATGTCCTTATGTGGCTTATCAGAAAACAGTATTATAAGAAAAACAGGATATTTTAATTATTACTATTGTAATCAATGAGAAATTTATTATTTTTTGATATAGCGCATTCTGCTCTATCTCATAAAATAAAGTGGTGCCGGGAAGGTTAAGGTTGCTTTTGTTAATTAACGATAACACTGGTTTGGGTTAACCCATTTAAATAAACTAGGTCTCGTTGAAAAGAGCTTTTCTTCCGTAATAATCTGCAGTATAAACTTTGTCTACATATATATTACCGTGGTAGCTAGGGGGCGCTGTTTGACATAATAGTTATTGCGCGTTTGCACAAAAAAACTTAATAGTAGGCTATATTTCTTTTTCCACAGTTAAATACAGCACAAAATTTCCAAAGAGTTGCCACAAACCGCAACTTTCTATCTCCTCCCTAACGGGATACATTAAGAGGACAGTTAAGGTTAGGCTGCCGCCTAGGCCTATAATGATGTAATTAAAAATTATACTTATTATTATTTCTTTACTTTATTCGATAGAATATAAAGACTAATAGAATGACTCTCCGAATAGAATGACATATCATATGTCAACTTTTGACATTTTCGCGTATGGTTTATTTGACATTGTAACATGCGATTCATAACGACAATTTGACTCAAAATAGGAAGCGTGCGGTACCAAATTATTCGTAAAAAATACTTTTTCCAAATATGCTAATGAGCCACCCTTGTTCTATGAAAAAATTGAGATATGATTAAAAATACAATTTGGGCATCTTTTAATCGGCCAGGACAAGACACGAATTTTAAAAATCAAAAGTTGTAGTCATTTCCTGTAAAATAGGAAATGACCAAAAACAATTGAATATGTCAATCAATCCTAATTTATGTCACATACTAATATACCAAATCTCGTTTTTATCTAAAAAAATAAAAAGTTATAGGGGTGAGCCACTTTTGAGACGCACCCGGTATATTATTTTAATTTTTGAAAAGTCTACACTTTTGGATATTAAAACATGCAATAATTTGCAATCAGAAAACACTAACAGCAATTTTTGTATAATTCTGGAGTTTTACTAATTTCCTTTTTAATTATTTAGCGAACAATTTCTTTAGAAGGAAGAAAGGTATTGGTGTTACAAGTAATTCGATTCCCATTAGAATATTAAATGATTTGTCAAAGAATGTAATTATTATATCACAGTTGCGTAAATATTGAACTAAATTTTGTGCGAAAATACCTGAAAACTAGTCATTTGTCTGATACTAAACGCCCAGGGTTGGATTGTAATTTTATAATTTATTACGAGTATTATGACATTAATACGCTTTACAGGTACAGGGTGTCCCATTTTTGTTTTACAGGGTTTCTCTTTTATGAGCAGAAGTACAAACATGCCGTTTTCACCTCACTTTGCTACTTTTTATGAAACTAAAGATGCTACACACAGACTTGTCCTAACCCTCTTAGTTCCTGAAATACAGGGCGAATTGGGAAATGTTGCATTTTTCGACCCCCTTCGAATCTCGCGGTTATCTTCTAAAATGTTATAACTTATCGAAAAGGTGAAAACTGATTCGCATAGAGTTTTTCACGTAGAACTCAGTGGCGTAACTAGATTTTCGCTGGGAGCTGTCATTCTTAAAGTATAACCCAATCTTATATTTTTTTAAATGGAGTACCCTGTATATTATTTTTTTTTATTTGTCTTGTATAACCTTTCTAAAAATTTTTTATACTATATACTTATTTTCATAAATAAGGTAATAACTGCTTTATTTCACTTTTTCCATGTAGAATGCTCTCAGTACCGGTTTCAGAGCCCTACTCCATCATCAGGTGAGCTTGGGCAGATCCACAAAATGACAACCACAGCGCAGAGATAGTTAATTTACTACCATTGCACGCAGGCCGCTATCTCCCGTTCGGGACTTAATATCTAACCGACACTTTCCGACAAGTCGGAATATACTATCTCTGCGCTGTGGTTGTCATTTTGTGGATCTGCCCAAGCACACCTGATGATGGAGTAGGGCTCCGAAACCGGTAGTGAGAGCAAGTTGATCCACATTATGACAACACAGCGTTGAATTAAATTTCTAGCCAAGAATTAAATTTCTATATCAGCAGTTAAGTGGCAAGAATCCTTATATAATTTTATTATATACCTATACTGCAAGAAATTTGTTTTCTATTTTATAATTTGGCTTGCCTGAAAAAAAGCCTTTTACCATCTTTTTACTATCGATAGTTGCGCCTCGGTGGTACGAAAGTACTACCATTGCACGCAGGCCGCTATCTCCCGCTCGGGACTTAATATTTAACCGACACTTTCCGACAAGTCGGAATTAATTATCTCTGTGCTGTGGTTGTCATTTTGTGGATCTGCCCAAGCTCACCTGATGATGGAGTAGGGCTCCGAAACCGGTAGTGAGAGCAGGTTGATCCACATTATGACAAACACAGCGTAGAATTAAATTTCTATATCAGCAGTTAAGTGGCAAGAATCCTTATATAATTTTATTATATACCTATACTGCAAGAAACTTGTTTTCTATTATTACTTTTTACGTTAATGAATAATTCATAATATGTCATTCTGAAATCAAATTAATTATGAAATTAACAATTATCGCTTCAGTGTTAAAAGTAAATCACGTGACTTACTTTTAGCACCAGTGCTAAAAGTAAATGACTTTTACCCTCAGTGACATAATATCACATTTTAGACACTGACAGCATGCGTTAAAAATTACATTTTTACTGACGTTGTAGAAAATATATTATTAAACTGACGAAACTACGAAAATATTTTAGCTTTTTTCGTTTTCTTGTTATTACCGATTCTGAACCGTCCTAGAACTGTGATGCGTATGCGCAGAACGAAATATGAAGACATTATTTCATTTGCGCATGCGCTGCAGAGTTCTAGGACGGTTCAGAATCGGTAATAACATGAAAATGAAAAAAGCTATTATTAAACCGACATAAAGTGTCAAATTCAACGAGCGTAACCATAGTTTCTCGATATACAGGGTGTTTCAAAACAAATGCGAAAAACTTCAGGGGGTGATTCCTTGTTCAAAATAAAGGGTAGTTTGCTTCATAAATGTTGGGTCAAAAGTCAACCATTAGGGAGATATCGCGGTACAAAGATGGCGGAAAAATAATGTTTTAATTTTTTATCGAAAAGAGATAGACTAATGAAATTTTATGGAAGCATTACTGTTATGAAAACACACTTTCTGGTAATTTTCTCACTTTTTTAAAATGAGTGGAAGGGGTTGAAATAAACTACTCCTATTATACTTGTTAACGAAATTTAAAGAAAAATCGTATCAAACACATGCAAAAAATTAATTTGGATAGTTTAGTTTGTTTAGAAACTTTTTTATCTCTTGTGTTTTTTGATAAAACTCACCGATTTGAAATTAAAAAATAAAATGTAAAGCATTACCCCATGTCAGGACAAAAAACATTTTTATTTTTTAATGTGTACTTTTTTTATTATTTTGTACTTTCATGAATTAAAAAACAGAATTAAAAATTGTTTGGTAAATGATTTTTAAGAGGTTATCATTCAGAAGAAAATGTAACAATATTATTACGAAATAAAACTGTTTGACAGCAGCCTACTAGATTCTTTATCCAAAAATGTTTTTTGTCCTGACATGATTGTAATGCTTTACATTTTATTTTTTAATTTCAAATCGGTGAGTTTTACCAAAAAAACATAAGAGATAAAAAAGTATCTAAACAAACTAAACTATCCAAATTTTTTTTGCATGTATTTGATAAGATTTTTCTTATAATTTCGTTAACAAGAATGATAAAGGTAGTTTATTTCAACCCCTTTCACTCATTTTAAAAAAGTGAAAAAATTACCAGAAAGTGTGTTTTCATAACAGTGATAATGCTTCCATAAAATTTCATTAGTCTATCTCTTTTCGTTTTCAAGATAAAAAATAAAAACATTATTTTTCCGCCATCTTTGTACCGCGATATCTCCCTAATGGTTGACTTTTGACCCAACGTTTATGAAGCAAACTACCCTTTATTTTGAACAAGGAATCAGCCCCTGAAGTTTTTCGCATTTGTTTTGAAACACCCTGTATAAGTATACATACAAGGTATGACTTTTAAATCTTTTTATATTATTTGGAACGTTTGAAATTGTTTAGAAACTTATTTGTGGCGTTTGAAAACAAATATATAGCATGTTCTATTCGGAGTAAAAACGACTCTGCGCCTCGGTTGTATGTCAAACGTACAGCCTCGCCGCAGAAAGTGTCATTTTTACTCCTAATAAAACAATATACTATTGTCTTGTAAAGGCAATCCGGGGACATACTGTAATCAATTTACTTAGAGTTATTTTTTTTTTGTAGTAAATACGTCGTAAATATACTGAAAGCATTTTGCATTTTCCCATCCTTGCAGTAACAATATTACAAAATTGACTCTTCCACGCAGAAAGCCACCACCGCTTCGCTCCAATTTCGTTTAATAAATAATAGTGAAAATTTCAGTTTCATTTGAATTATTTCATATAGTTATCTACTACAGATATTGCACTATTACACCTCGCCAAGAACAACTACCTAATGGTCGTAAGATCCTATTCGGGCGGGTTGTTCACAATTTTAATGGATGTCCGTCTGTTCGTCACGGAAAAACGCTTAACTGTATATCGCAGACCTGGTTTCAAAAAGCGGAACAATCGCGGAATATAAATTCGATATAGCGCGGGAATCGGTGTGATTTGAATTTTTAAAATATCTTCGCATGGGGTCGCGTCAAAGAAATTTGATTTGTGATGATACTGAAATTCATTTAGCGATGTTATACGTAATTAGTTTTAGCGATTATTGCAATTTGTCGACGGTGGTGGATAATATGTGAACATGTGGGAATATTTTTTTGTGTTGGTTTCAAGTGTTATTCCATGTAAGTGATTAAAAATATTTATACTTGCATATGAATTACTATTTCCAATTTTTTTATAATTTGGTTATTCGCATTATTATTCAAATTATCTTCAAAATACATTAAAGCTTGTGTCACATAAGTATCTACATCCTTATATGAGCGGTTGACTGCATTTAACTACGAACTTGTACTAAAGCACAGACTCTAAGTTAAGTTAGTTTGTGACTAAAGTGAACTTGTAGTAAAGTCCAGTTGGCTGGGAAATGACGATCGATGCCATTTCCCATATAAATTTACATATAAAATGACAGCGATCTTCATTTCATAGCCATCGCTGACGCCGTTTTTTTTTCGATCATACGGTACTTGTAACTCCATTAACTACTTACTTGTACTAAAGTAACACTTGGTATATTCATATCTTTTTATATTTATTAATTATTTTAACATTTTTCCAAAAATCAGACGTTACCATTTTTTTAATGTTATAAATATACCGAGTGGTTTTAAATTTAAAATTAAGATTTTTTAAAAGTGAAGTTAATAAAATTGTGCAGTGAAAGGCTCATATAGAGACGAATTTATCTTCCTTTACATCATATTTATAAGAAAAGAATGCCGTTCTTTTTTTAATTTTCTTCCTCAATAATAATATGGTGCCTACTATCCTTTACTATTCATATTAAAATATTTATTATAATCATCACGCTCTTTAAAATTTACTTTTATTAAATATCAGTTATCTTCAACTTTCTAGTAAAATATACTTTGATTAAATTATTTAGAATCCAATTTTCATGTTGATTTAACGATCAAAATTGTTAAGTACTAAATTCATTAAAGCGTTGTCCCCGTAGTGCTAAAGAAATGCTTTAATATATTTGAATTGGTAAAACTATATTTGATATATCTGACATACGAAATAATGCTTATTAAGAAAATCTTAAAATATAGGATTATGAATTTGATAAAAATGTTTACAAATATATACAGGGCGTCAAAAAATAGTGTATCTAACAATCTAACTTTGGTGGGTTCTTCCCGAAAGAAGTTACAGCCCTGGAAAGGTTAAATAAAAATAATATATTTTGTTTATTTTTTAGAACATTGGTAAACCATTTTTCTTGAAATTTGGGACTCTTACACACATTTTAATGCCAAAGCGAATGCCGATTGTGGAAAATTCCGTGACAGCCCTGAAAGGGTACATTCCATTAGGGTAGAGAGTACTACTGGTGGTACTTCCTTTATTTTTTACATTAATTTTAACAAATGATATAAAAAAGAACTTTTTTACGTAAAATGCAAAGAAATTTTAAATAAATTAACGAATTATTAAATATTAATCTCCTGATTTCGCTAATACTAAAATAGATCCATCGGAATCTTTCAACGCAAATATCTTGAAAAGCGTTCACCGTTTCGAACTAAATGAAGAGCACATAAAAAAATCCTAGCTTTACTTTTAATTTATTGAAATTACTGTAGCTGTAAGGAAAAAAGAAGTACCACTAGTAGTACTCTTTTAATGAAGCATTTTAGGACATATCTTCATAAGAAGTTTTTGTTTTACTTTAATCTGTAGAATCGCTCACCGAAGTTAGATACACTATTTTTTTGACACCCTGTATAATGTATATATTATATATTGTTTGAATAAATTAAATTAATAGCGAAATATTTAAAATCTATAAGGAAAAATTAGTGTTAGGTAACAGCAAATACCAATTGATTTTAATACAATTTGAAAAAGTGAAAGTTCTATTATATTTAATTCTGTAATTTCAGTTCGCTAATCTCCTCTCAGATGCAACGGATTATTTTATGACGTGACCGTGATTATCCGTCAAAAATTAACTGAAATTAAATCATAACAGCAATTTTTTTTTTAATTAAAAATATCACTTTTTCATTTTTATTTATGTTAGTTAATTTAGTTTTAATAAAGGTAGTAAAAAATTATAATTATTAATATTCTAGTATTAATGGGATCTTGAGGAAGGTAATCTTACATATTCAGATAATTTTCCTTTGTCCTACAGTAAGAAAGGAATTTAAATGGGAAGGATTAATTTTTCGCACATTTAAAATTTTTTAAAATCATCCGCAGTACTACTTCTTTATCATTTTAGAGTCACTTTTGCTAATCATTTTAGCAACAAATGATTAAAACTAAGTTAACCAAAATTGTAAATGTACAGGGTGGGCCAAATCGGTTAGGCTTGTAAAGAAAAACATCCTTTTCTATAGGAGATAAAGGAAAACTAATATCGGTGTCTGGAGCTCAATTTTTATCAAAAACATGATATCTGATACCGTTTCGGAGTTACGGGGTGTTTTTCAAAAATGGGCATTCTTAACAAATCGCTGTAATTTTTTTGCTATGGAATTATATTTTTAGAAAGGTCATTTTAAGTTCTTTTCAGTTAATTAAAAATATACAAGGTGTCCCAAATAAAAAATCAATTTTTCTGTTGATAACTCTTAAATTATTAATTTAAAAAAAATTGTACTTAAACCATTAAATTCTACGTAAAAAGGTGCTTTGGAAATGTTTTCATAAAAATACAGAATTTTCCATAGCAAAAAAGTCACAACGATTTGTTAAAAATGCCGATTTTTGAAAAACACCCCGTAACTCCGAAACGGTAATAGATATCGATGTGCGGTTTTCACCATCATGTTTTTCATCGAGAGCTCCAGACACCGATATAAGTTTTCTATACTTTCCTATAGAAAAGTGTGTTTCCCTTTAAAAGCGTCCAATTTGACCCATCCCGCACATAATATTATAGATTATTATATGCCATCCGACTATGCTATCATGAACAGCAAAATATGAGAATGAAAAAAAAAAATGGTGCACTGTAGTTGATTCCTGTAATTTTCATTTGTATGGGCAACAATTTTAACCTAAGTTTTGTTATTAAAATTTACTAATATTTGCTAATATTAAAATTATTCATAAAATAAAAAACAAATATATCTGCTCCTAAAAACCGTTGTTCGAATACATTTTCTAGTTAATTTTTAAAATTATAAATTATATTATGTAAATAAAGGATAAATTTTAAATTAATGTTAAAATAATATTTTAACATTATATTATACTAACAGTATATTATACTTAATAATTAATAAATCTTAATGATTCTGTCTAAAAATAAGAAACAAACTGTTGCAAATATTTATATGTAAAAATTGATGTTTTTTTTAATTTAAATTTTAATTTTTGAATTTCTATTAGATATTTAAATTAGCATAATTTTATCAATGTACAAAAAATACCTTAATCATGTAAGAACATCTGTCTGTGCTACTTATAGCTATTTTTTGTATGCCAAAATCCTTTATTAATAGTAATCCATTAATAATCCATTAATCGA